TATTTATGTATTTAGTTTTGTTTTATTTTAATCATCTTCTCACTAATATACCATCCCTTATTTATTACTTCAAATACTGTATCGTTGGCTCCAAACCTTTTTAAACAAAAATTGAGTTGACTACTGTCTAAAAAAAGGACAGTTACGGAGCCATTAAAGGGGTGATGAACTGAGAAATCAAATTAGAGGTCATCATATTATAAGAATATCCTGTAAGTTTCAGAACTGAAAACGTCCTTTTTTTAGTCCAATAAAAGCTTTTATTGACACCAGCCTCGGCAAACGACTCGTTTTTAAAAGAGGGGAACTATGACGTCAAAGAGGATAAAACCCCACCCCTGCAGAAGAAGATCAACTCCTACTTCAACACGGCCAGTTTAGCCCCGCCCACCGATTCGCACACATTACACGCATAGCTAAATAACATAGGCCTACCTCATGATGACAAACCGGATCGAGCTACCGAGCAATACAGATTATTGTGCAGTGCCTGGTTATGGAAGAAGACAGTCGCTGCATATGCTTCCTCTGGATTCCAATAGGACTGCAAAACTTTATTTTTAATGACGTTCCAGCTGATAAGGTTAAAACATTGTCCGTCTGTTCGCTTCATTTCACTGAGGATTGTTTTGTAAACAAGACTGGATTTGCAGACCGATTAAGAGTAAAGAACGGTGCTGTGCCGTCTATATCTGACAGGAATGGTGCAACACACGGACTCTGGGTTGAACATGTATGGGCGAATCATTCCGGTTGCCATTTTACAACATTGGACGTTTTAAAAACAATTTTCCCCACGTACACCGACGAGGTGAGTTGAAACTCATTATAATATGCAAAACTGTTCTCCACTCACAGCGGTGAGCGTTTACTTCCAAATCTTCAGTGTGAGACGCCCATAAAAACCAAGCGTTTCCGAGCTGGGCTCAAAACTAAGGTAGAAAATAGCCTATTACTTATTCATTTTGATGTTTTTGAATGCAAAAACCAAGCGAACGTCATAAGTTGACCTCAGAAAACAATATAATACAATTTAAGAAGCCAGTTCATGACCCCTTTAAAGTCCTAAAGTTTCCAACAATATATTTATTGATTTTCCATAAAAATACAAATCACAAATAAAATTTAAAAAGCTCTGAAAGTACCAATGTAGCATGATGTCAGTTGGTGTAGAGAAGTTCACACCAATTAAATCCTCAAACATCTTAATGTAACGTTGAGGAGGCAAGGAGGAATCCAAATGCAGTAAGCAGTTTTTAATAATAATAATAAACAAAACAAAAAGGGAAATCCACGGAGAACAAAGAACTTGGAAACAGGAACTCAGAACAAAACTCAGAAACAAGAACTCGAAACAACGCTACAGTGAAACATCGACCGACACCCACCAACTGAAACACAGGGGTTTAAATACACAGACAAACAAGCTAAATGAGGGAACAAGGGGGTGTGGTAAATCAGAAACACCTGGGGAAACTTATAAACAAGAAAAACTACAAAGGACTACAAAACATGGCACAGAAACAGGAAATAACTAAAGTCCACACAAGACAAGGAAAACACAAGACAGGAATCGTGACACTTAATGTTTGCCACCACAGGGTCCAGATAATTTACAAATGGTCCCCGTTGTAAAAAGTGAATCTTGGAGTGAATTATACAAGATATTTGAATGGTATTAGCTCCATTAACACTTTTTGTGACCCCACACAGAGGGGTCTTTATGAGTGGTCCTTTAAAAGAATGTTTTTGGTGCTGCAACGGTCATAATATTAAAGAGCCTTCTGTTATCATTCATTTAAAATGACTTAACGTAGAAATTGGGCGCCTAATGCTTGACCAACGTTGCGCCTCTGAGGATCTATAAAAGGATCTTGGTTTGTTTTCCTTCTTCTCTTTCTTCCCTGTGTGTGTATGGTCTTTGATCGACAGAGAGAGGATAATGTCATAGCAAGTCTTATTTATGACAGCTGATGGAAAGAAAGACGAATTTTTGTTGATGCTGTTGTCTTGTTCCACTGTGACTGTGAAGGGAGGGATTAAATGGACTGAGGTTTGTTTTTGGTTTTCCCTCGAGGATCCTCAAACTCCTCTCTTTCTCTCTCTCTCTCTCCCCGCTTCCCCTCATCCTTTCCTTCAAGGAATATGGCCAGATTCATTATTTAGCTGTGCTCTTTTTGACAGCTGGGTCGGAGGGAGAATAGGGCTTTGGCATGTGAGTGTATGTGTGTGTGTGTTTGCAGTGTGTATGGAACAGCAAGCTGGAACTGAGGCCTGACAGAAGACAGGAGGCCTGTCGGTGATGCCTGCAGGAGCTGACAGCTGATCACACTGTCAGTCAAGGGAGCCGTCCACACTGAAGGCTAACAGACTCAACACCGTCAACCTTCTCTTTGTCGTTCAGACCGTTCTTCCTGTCAATCCTTTCACAACCCCCTTTTTTTCTTTATAAATGATCCACTGCTTCTCTGTATCCTCCAAATCATCGCTTTTCACACACCTTTTCCCCATCAAAGCTAAATGCATCCAACTTCTCCTCTCATCAAAGCATCAGCCTCCTCCTCTAATCCTCGTTTTCTCATTGACCATCAGATTTGTTCTCGTGTATTTGGGGCCGAATGAAAGATACTTTTTTCTATTTATTTTTTTTACCATTTTTTAAAATGCCATCAGCCCATTTGCGAATAAAACTGGCACATTTTTTTTACAGGTTTACAGGTTTTTACATATATATATATTTTAATTACATTGCTATTTAAAATACACATGGACATAAAATAGAGATTTTATGTCTATGTGTATTTTAAATAGCCATGTAATAAGAAGTATCATGTACAGTCAGATGCTGATTTTTATTATTTTATCATTTATTTCTTTATTTTAAACAGACAAAAAAAATTTTCTTCATTTTTCATTAGTGCCGTTTTCATTAGTCTAAAACTTTCAGGCAGACCTCAAAATTGATAAGGCAAATATGAAAATCAGACATTCATAATGCACAAAAAGCATCATTTTCTTAGTGAAATAAAGCGACAATTGGAGAGAAACCTGTTATTCAAAATCAATTGTCTTTTTTATCTGCCATACAGCTCCAGTCCTAATGAGAGTTTGGCCTGTGATTGCCTGTGACGCTTCCATAGAGACTCGGTGCTCTTTGTGGTGACAATGGGCCTTCAATTCACCCATGAGACAAACTGACTGGACAATTCATTCATCGATGCAAATGCCAGCCAAGACGTGGTCGTATGCATCTGTTTCCCTCTGTGAGCCCACCGCTTGTTAATGATGGACAGCCAGCGGCACGTATTCTTTGGAGCCAAGCCTGCGCGGTGCCTTCTATCCACCAGAGAGGCCAGCAGGACAGGTCACGAGGGAATGTGGCCATTTACGATGAAATAAATGTCACAATCGCCACATTCTCAGTCAATTTTAACAGACAAATGTATTATTCAGAACATCAAAACAATGTCTTTCTTCTCAATGGCTTGTTACATGAGAGAAGAAGTGAGCAGCAGAGTGTTAAGAAGAGTGAAAATTTGGCCCAAAATTTTAGACAATATAAAAGACACAAATAACTCTTAAAATGGTACTTATGTTGTAAAGTAAAGTTTGAAGTTAAAGACACATCAGTTACCATTTCTGATCATTTTTGATAAACATTATGGGGACAAAATAAAATACAAAGATGGCAATATCCGAAATCCTTATCCTTTTTTTGGTCCCATGAAGATAACAGATTATAAATCATACCGATTGATGTTTTTTGAAAATGTAAAAATGCAGAAAGGTTTCTGTGATTGGTTGGTTGTAAGGGGATTGAATATACAGTTTGTATAAAAGTATTATCTCTATGGAAAGTCCCCATAAAACATGAAAAAAACTTGTGTGTGTGTGTGTGTGTTACAACATCAACATCATCACTGTTTTAGTACTATTTTAAAAGTGTTATATGTATTTTTATAGATGAATCTGTAATATGATAACGAAAAGGGTTAGTGAACTAGACTGAACAATTTCAGTGTAACAGTTTGTGTTAGAGTCTGTGTTGTGCTAGAGGCAGGTCATTTTTGGTGTTATCAGACTCCATGTCATTAGATGCAGTGCCGTCGCATAGACTGTATATAAAAAAGAGAGAGGTTCAGGAGCGCTCATGCACGTCACATCCAATGGATTTCGCAGAAAATCCGACCCGGAGACTTCATGTATAAAATTGGAGTACTGGCCTTCAGAGATATAGCAAAACCCGACAAGTAGATCATTGTAATATGTGAGGATAACCCCTTCACACACAGGCAATAATAAAAAAAAAGATTCATTTTAGAAGAAAAGTTACATATAGCACCTTTAAGTTAATTATGGCAAGCCAGACTAATCAAACCAACATTCTTTAGATTGATGGCAATTCTAGCTCAACACATTAGGGTTTCCAAAACGTTTTATTCAAATGCCACATTAAATGATTTTGTTTCACACCATAATAATGAGAGAACAGAATGAGACCATTTACAACAAAATTACAATAACTTTCAATAATAAACAGAAATAAAAAAGCATTTAACAAAGAATAACAATAAATAGCCTGCTGACCCATTTACTGTCCAATTCTTTCTAAGAGAATGTGGTTATTCTTTCCCTTCCTGGTTTTATCTGCACCTTATGTGTTTATAATATGTCTCTTTCTGAGATTGAAATGTACATTACTATAAAATAGCTATAAAAAGCCACACATTTGTTTAAAAAAAATCCGACAAACACCAAAGGTTTTGTTGCACAACCACTGTAATATTTTCTAGCTAGGCTATTTGTAGTCGTTAGTCTATAAGAAACCATATTTGTCGCATGTTAAATTCATGCCTCATGCCTAAACTTCTCAGTCTGTGTGGTTCTTCAAATATGAAGTAGAATAGTTATTCAAATCAGCCGAGTTGCAGGAAGGATTTCGTTAATTCAATAATGATGTGTGGTGGTAGAACTCCGATCCCCACAATGCACTGTGTGGAGGTGAAGCGGATGTTTATATTCTGCGTGAACAGTGAAGAATGTGCGAGCAATGACAGCTGAAGTGAGAGATGGATCGAGAACGCAGAACACATTCAGCACAACACTCCAACACACCATTGCATCGTCTGTAAGTTGCCATTGTTTTAAGTCTGTCAGTACGGTGTGGCATGACAGCCTGCGTTATTATTTAGTCGCTTTATAACCTACTGAACTCTAGCTCAGCTCGCTAACACAGTTCCTCTTTTCGGATTACATTTTAAACAGTTCGATCACATACATGATACAATGTAAAGATATGGTAACGACAGAGCTAGTAGCAATCAGTAGCAGCTGTCATTTAAAGCTAACATTAAAGGAATAGTTCACGGTTAGCCCCAAAAATGAAAACAGTCATGCTCTCCTTTGTGTTCAAAAGAAGAAAGTCATACAGGTTTAAAACAACTTGAAGGTGATTTAACTAATTATTATTATTTTATTTTTTGTTTTTGTTTTTTAAACTAAATACTGTTTTGGGGGGGTGAACTATCCCTTTAACTTGCTATATTTAGTGGTTTGTCATATTGTCTGGTTGGTTTAATAGATTTGAATACACGGTGTATGTCGTTTGAATATTTTGCTGCTGACTTTTTTCACTGGTTTGGCATTAAACAGCATGATGTTAGTTTGCTGTTTTTGTTTTAGCTTAAACCACCAGAATAAAGTGCATGATGTCACATTGTGATGATGGCTGTCAGAAGTCATGTGAATCTCTCATCAGGAAGATCTTTGACAGGAAGTTTCTTCTTTTCCCCTTCAGGAAGTTATGCAATACAGTTTGAGTTTGCAATGTAGTTTATACATTATGACGGGCTTTCCGCCTGTCCTCTGAAAAAATGAGTATACTGAGCCACATGCAAAACATTTAGAAAATATTTTTTACTGACTCACCTTGAAAAACAGGCCAAACAACATTTACAGAAATACTCTTACAAACATATGCACAACTTGCATTACAGTATTATTTTTACGCTATTATCATTGTTATTATTATTATGAGTTTGCCTTTTTCATTAGAATTTCGAGTTCAATTGTTTGCAAGGTTATGTTTTAGATTTTGTTATATTGATATTTAAGTTTAGTTTATGCATGTTCATGCTCTCTTAAACTTATTTATTTATTTATTTTGAGGTTAAAAAAAACATTTTTGGAAACTTGTTTAGGCCTGTATTCCATATATTTCTTTTAGCATTAAAGAGCCCCTATCATAGCATTTGAAATGTTCCTATTTTTGTTTTAGGAGTTCCCAAAAACAGTTTAACATGCATGCAAGGATAAAAAACACTTTATCTGTCTTATAATATGCATTTATTTTAAACTGATTTGCTCACCGACTCCCAAATGATTCGTACAACGACTCATTTTTCCAAACCACTCCTTTGCGTGACGCTAATCGGCAGTGATTGGTCAGATGACAGACCCAGTCAGTTATTGTTTGTTAGCATAATGGATAAACATATTGATAAAGCACTGCAGTACTACAAGACGATCTATTCTTTATGACAACTCCAATAACAGTGACAAATATTTCACATATTTAAAAAAAAAAATTGACATTGGAGACCAAGAAGCTGCGCTGAGCGTAATACCTGATCTATATACACTGGGTAAGTAAGTTACTGAGCCCTCCTTCAGGAACAACCGCTTGCGAATCCACATTTGAATTCATTTATGTTTTTGAACGATTCGTAATTAAAATGATGAAAACACAATCAGGCTATACTGTTGTGGTATTGTTGCAAATATGAACTCTACCGTCCCTGGTAAATGAAAACAAAGTGGCTGAACTATCTTTGCATTGTAGAACACAGCGTCTTCTCGACATGATGCTATGATGAAGTATTTGAATGTGTAGACTTCAAGTTTACACTTCCGTCTGCACGTGCAGTAACTGGGCGCGGCCAGTATGTCTCTACGTCACGACAAACCAGCTAATGACTCGTTTCAAAAACAATTAATTTCATAGACTCAGAGTCGACTCTCACTTTTGAAAGACAATAACTTTATATACGGTGCACTTTCAGATATAAATCTTTGCAGGATGTTTTCATTCCCTTAGAGCTATATTCCACACCATATGAACAGTCATTTTCAAAAATCCATGATAGGGGCTCTTTAAAAAAAAATCACCGTAGAAACTTAAAGCTTCAGTCTGTAACTTTTTTGGGTTAAAAATGATCCAAAATATTTTTGAGCAATAACCATCCAGTGTTTAAAACTATCTGCTTGCCTTAGCTCGATTCAAAGCGGTAAGCTTGTAATAATGTTTTTAATTCCAGTGGTACTGGTAGATTTCCGCGGGAGATTCAAGCACGTCTTTGAGTCATTACGTCACATCTGTACACATAAAGAAGGAGTTCCGGGTAGTAGGCTATATTGCGTGTGAGGATGTTGGAGGTGGATATTTATAGATTTATATGGAGGTTGGAGGTATATCAATTCTAATGGCGGATCCAGAAATGTTCAAATGACAATCACCTGTGACAACTGGAGATTCACCCATTGTAAAATGCAAAAGACTTTGTTCGGACTTCGATAAATAGGATAAATATCGAAAGGGCGGGAGTGCACATTCACGTCACATCCGATGGATTTCGCAGAAAATCCGACCCGGAGACTTCACATGGAAATAGGAATACTGGCCTTCAGAGATAATAGCAAAACCCGACAAGTGGATCATTGTAATATAACCCCTTCACACACAGGCAATAAAAAAAGGATTCATTTTTAGAAGAAAGTTACATATAGTACCTTTAATTTGGCCTCATTGATAGAACATGAACAGAATAACCTGTGTTGTCATGAATCCATTCTTATGTAAATTCTCTTTGCATGCAAAAGTGTTTTTTTTAAATAAATAATACACAAATTGATTTAATGTGTGTGTGTCATTAATGAGGCCCTTGGAATTACAGTCCTTCTTTGACATTTTATGGTTCTCACAATCTTGTGTGATTTTGTTGTTTGTTTGTGTGTGTGTGTGTGTTTGTCTTTCTAACCCACAGGTCATGCATGCATCTTGGCCTATAGCCTGTGCTGTGTAAAGCCTATCACGCTACAGCGCAGGGAAGGGACAAGGGCTGTGCTTCCTGACTCAAACCCAGACCTGCTGCTCCATGTTTCCTATGCTAACCCTTCTGAGCATGTTTTACTATATCTGTCTGCGGCGGCGCTCCAGGAGCGGGACGAGGAGCGAGGCGTTGGGTAGCCGGCGAGCGGTGGAGCTGGGTCAGCGTTCGGCGCTGCCCGTCACTGTGGAGGTCGAGCAGTATGGCAAGGAGGTCCTGGACTTCAGCTCTCATTACGGTAGCGAGAACAGCATGTCCTATACCATGTGGAACCTGGCGGGGGTGCCTAACGTCTACCCCAGCTCAGGAGACTTCACCCAGACGGCCGTGTTCCGCACTTACGGAGGCTGGTGGGCGCAGTGTGTTAGCTCCGCTCTTCCGTTCCGTCGTACGCCGCCCAATTTTCATGCCCAAGACTACCTGGAGCTGGCCTTTGAGGAGCCTGTCTATCCCACAGCTGTGGAGGTGCTGGAGACCTACCACCCCGGGGCCATCGTCAAGATCCTAGCGTGCTCACTTAACCCTTTCTCCCAGAACCCACCGGTTGACGTCAGGTAAAATGTTAGGTGTGAGACAAAGTTCTGGACCTTTAATCAAAAGGTTGTAGGTTCTAATCCCACAAGGTGTGAACCATGAGCTGTTAGCATTGAAAAAAATCTAAACAGATGAAGACTTGACTGTATTGTGTGAGTTAGTAGACAAATGTATTAAACATAATAGCATTAATGTAGTGTAAGATGCTGTGGATAAAAATGTCTAAATAATTAACTAAATAATTCTAAATGTCTAAATAATTACCTTCTAGATAAAAGCCTCAAGACCCTGCCTTAGGCACACAATTCATCTTTTACTTATAAAGCTTGTGCAGATATTGGTCAGAGTCACTAAATGTTAATGTATTTTTTGTGCCTATTTTAATCAAATGTATTAATGCACAGTATAATAATAATAATAATAATAATGCAGTTCCTTGACTATGTAATTTAATGACCAATATTACTATATATATATATATATATATATATATATATATATATATATGTGTGTGTGTGCGTGTGTGTGTGTGTGTGTGTTTGCGTTTGTGTGTGTATATATATATATATATATATATATATATATTTATATGAACATGTTACATGTATTTACTTGTATTTACTATAATAAAAGCAGGAATAAATTATGCTCAATTGCAATAACTTAAAGTATTACCAAATTGCAAAATAAATTGTAATTGCAATAAAATAAAGTATGACCAAAAGGGATAATATTTATAAAATATCATATATAAAATGTTTCTAAAATAATGCCTTATTAATTGTATATTTACAAAAAAAGTCATTATTTGGTCAACCAATGGTTTAACTTCTTTTAAGTAAACCATTTTAACCAAATCTACAATCATGAAATTTTTTAAGCATATTCTTGATTTGTAATTGTGAATTTTACTAAATGGTGACCAAATGTCAGATTTAAATCATGCATTGATCACATCTTTAGTAATTGAATAACAATACACAAATTGTTTTTACAGAGCTGTATGCGGTTTAGGTTTTAAGTATGGGTGGTGTTGTATTTGTTTTGCAGGTGGGAGGTTCTGTGGGCCGGCAGTCCCAACAAAGCTGTGACCCCTCAAGCTCGCCAGTTCTCCCCTAGCATCAGACAGATCAGTTTTGCCACCAACCTGCTGCGTCTGGAGGTGAACTGCTCTCTGTTGGAGTACTACACAGAGCTGGACGCGGTGATACTGCGAGGCGTTCGAGAGAGACCCATTCTGGCCCTCTATAAGATCCCTGTCATCGACATCAATGATCTGAGTGACAGCGAAGAAGAGATCAGTGATGCAGGAGGCCTCTGCTGCAGGTCGGGTGGAGAAAACAAGCAAAACCTGGGAAACGGCTTCTTTGATAGGCTCCCTTATGAGGTTAGCATTGGAAAATTTCACATGATGCCTGTGAGAAAGTTCATTGAGTTTCACGCCAGCATGTTTAGTAATGAGCAGGTTGGCCATTTAACAAAGAAGGGTTTCAAGGACTGTGTATAACAACACAAGTTGGAAAACAGAGTGTTGAAATCTTTTACGTACCAGACAGATAAGTCCCGACTTGTGTGGTTGCAGTAGGTCTTCTTCAGATAATTAGAGACCTTTTATTGTAATTTAAAAATACCTTTCCAATTCGTAAGCCCTCATTAACTGCACGCAGCTCAGATCTCCCGTCCAAACCACTGTCACCCTCACAGTCTCGTCAAGGCAGAAACATAATCCGGCTATTATCTGCTAACTGATACCCAGCTTCACACTCATACTATTGTTCAGTCTTCCCAACAGTGCACGTACCAAAAACATAATTGGAGCCTCCATAAGCGTCTTGAGAGTAATCTTAGTAGTGCTGTCTTTACAAGTGACACAACAAAAATATTTATCATGCTGTGTTCTGGTCACTGTTTGTTTTTGTCACTACAGTTAATCCAGCTGATCGTGAGTCACCTGCCGGTTCCGGACCTGTGCCGATTGGCTCAGTGCTGCAAGCTCTTTCACAAGCACTGCTGTGACCCGCTGCAGTACATCCAGCTCAGCCTGCAGCCGTACTGGGCCCGGCTCACCGATGCCTCTCTGTGCCACCTGCAGAGCCGCTGCACCCTCCTGCAGAGACTAAACATGTCCTGGACAGGCAACCGCGGAGCCGTGACGGCCACTGGCTTCTGCAGGTAACGGCGAGAGTCTCTGATCCAGATATTTCAAACAGTTTGATCTACTTAATGTGTGTAATAGTCAATCCATCGCGGTCTTTTTTCCCCCCTCAAGCTTTATGAAGGCCTGTGGGGTGAGTCTGGTGTGTTTGGAGCTGTCGTGCTGTCATTTCCTGACTGAAGCGTGTTTAGAGGTGATCGCCCAGACGTGTCCCTGCCTCCAGGAGCTCAATTTGGCTTCCTGTGACCGTCTGCAACCACAGGCGTTCAATCACATCACCAAACTCGCTAATCTACGCAGGCTGGTGCTGTACCGCACTAAAGTTGAGGTGAGAGCAAGACTGAGGAAATTATGATGACTGATTTTCTCGGGAAAAGCATCTGGTAAACACTGAATTGTAGCTTGAAAAAAAATGAAATAATGAATTTAATATTCAAAACAGTCATCAAACTTTCAGTCAGTTCACTTTTGCATCCACTCCTTTTTCAACATAGCATTTAAAAAATGAAATCAAAATGGATTAATCTTAATGGAACATTGCAGTATCAATTATAAATCTGTTATCCGCGCACAACATTGTTTTTTTCTATTCTTTTTTTTTTATATGGCCTTGTAATATTTAAACAAAATAACTTCCCTTCCCTCTTGGAATGACTTTTCTGATGACGCTTTTACTGGCATGAGTGCGGGACAACCTGTCACTCACATGATCACAGCAAAAGCAAATGACAATGATCAAATTCCCGATGGACATAAGTCCTGTCCTACTATTTTTTAGTTTTTTAGAAGCTGTTTTACTCTGATATGTCACAATAGGGAAGGACAGACTATTGCAACTTCTGTTTCATGCCGACTTCACGATCAGAAATCCAAAAATCTTATTTGCATTTTTTACCTGATAAAAACATCTGAGCCAAGTCGATTTGAGAGTTATCATTTGTGGGAGAGGCCATTGTGAGGAGAGACCAATCACAACAGTTTGTTTTCTTGCTGCAGTACAGCTCGCTTAAAGACTCAAAAAACAGAAAGCGTTCTTCTACTCGGTTCCATACAGATTACAACGTTGTTGAACCTCATAGTGTATCCGTAATTTTCTTTAGGCAAAATCTTGATTCTGTGATGTTTGCTGTATTTCCTGAATCACACGTTTGACTGTATCCATGATTTAAAGCAATAGTTGTAATGTAATAAGTTGGTAATAGTTTAGGTTTTAACATCAAAGCTGAAATTGTTAATTACTGACCCATGAAATTTTGTGTTCCCCAAAAGTTGTCTGCTTTATCATGCACCACCTTTGTTTATTGTTTATACTGCATCATTAAACAGGCGCGTTAACTTGGGAATTGAGTAAGAAAACATGATTATGCCAGCCTGTTTTAAGCTGCTATAGTTACCTGTCCTTATGATTATACTGCATTATCACCTTTAGATCAGTGCTACATGATGGCGCAGGCCCAAGCATGCTAGGGTCATCCCGTCCCTCTGTGTGGTTAGCTGTGAATCAGCATTTGTAGGTTTATGCATGCCTCTGCCAACAGGTATAATGTTTCTGTAGCTTTTTTGTAGTGATGGCGACTGCATGTAAACATACAGGAACACACACTGTGTCTGTAGCAAACCCACCTCTTTGTCATCATTGATGAAAATATACACACAGAACATTTGTTTATTAACTCACACAATACAGTCAATCTTCAGCTTTTTTGAGTTTTAATTCATTTGATTTTTTTTTAACCAAAACAATAATGAAAACAATGGCTGTATTATCTTAATGTTCCTCACATGACACCTCAGGTTTTTAAACACAAAACAATTTTTTTTTCGTCTCTGATACATATTATCACTATATATTAGATGCGAGTGTCAGCCATGTGCGCCAGAGCGTGAGATCATTATTTTGACACATCTATTTGGAAGAATATTGAATTGGGGAGTTAAATTTGTTGTCATCTTTGATTTGTGATATGAAATATGCATTCTTTTGTCTCCTTTTTACTCCACTGCCATTTGTATATAAGGATGTTATTCTGTCATTAGCAGTGGTGGAGGAAGTACTGAATCTCAGTACTTAAGTAAAAGTACAAATAACCAGATAAATATTTACTTTAGTAAAAGTAGAAATAACACAATGACAACCATACTTAAAGTAAAAAATAAAAAGTACCTGATTTTAAATGTACTTTAAGTATTAAAAGTAAAAGTACTTGCATTTATTTTCTTAATGTCTATTTTCTAATGATTAATAAAACATTTAATTCTAACTCATTCAACCTAATACTCCTATAATGATGTTCAATAATGATGGAAAAAAAATGTTGTCACCATTTCTGAAACAAGCTTGCAATTAGGCAATATACACATCATGCTTATCCTTACTATATGTTAATAACTATGGCAGTAAACGCGATTAATTTATGGTGTAATTCTGAACCTCTTGGCTTGCCATAATCCTAACCAAATGTATTTTACACACGGTGCGTTTCCTATGCATGTAAAAACAAATTTTCGCGTATAAATTGCACTATAAACGCACTGCGTGCAAGACGCATTTAGTGTGACCGGGTTGATATATCTCTAGAGCCTCCATTTTTGCACTCAGGTCTAAATCCCATGACCCTCAGTCAGAATCCAGAGTTTCAAGAAGATTGGAGAAACTTATTTTTTCGCACAAAAAAAACCCCAAAAACGACAGGGGTAACACTGTCGTTTTTTCTTTGGGTCGAAATTTTGAGTTTGTCTGATCTTCTTGAAACTCTGGATTCTGACTGAGGGTCATGGGACTTAGACCTGAGTGCAAAAATGGAGGCTCTAGACCCTTCCAGAGCTGAGATATTGAGATACCATGTAGCATTTATGCCATTATAAATATCTCAATATCTCAGCTCTGGAAAGGTCTAGAGCCTCCATTTTTGCACTCAGGTCTAAGTCCCATGGCCATCTATCAGAATCCAGAGTTTCAAGAAGATTGGAGAAACATATTTTTTTCGCACAAAAAAAAAAAAAAAACGACAGGGGTAACACGTTTCCAGAGCTGAGATATTAAGATATTTATAATGGCATAAATGCTACATGGTATCTCAATATCTCAGCTCTGGAAGGGTCTGGAGCCTCCATTTTTGCACTCAGGTCTAAGTCCCATGGCCATCTATCAGAATCCAGAGTTTCAAGAAGATTGGAGAAACATATTTTTTTCGCACAAAAAAAAAAAAACGACAGGGGTAACACGTTTCCAGAGCTGAGATATTAAGATATTTATAATGGCATAAATGCTGCATGGTATCTCAATATCTCAGCTCTGGAAGGGTCTGGAGCCTCCATTTTTGCACTCAGGTCTAAGTCCCATGGCCATCTATCAGAATCCAGAGTTTTGAGAAGATTAGGGAAACTTCATTTTTCGCTGTCGTTTTTTTTTCGGGTCGAATTTTTGAGTTTCGTTATCTCAGCTCTGGAAGGGTCTAGAGCAGGGGTCTCAAACTCAAATTAACTGGGGGCCGCTGGAGATAGAGTCTGGGTCAGGCCGGGCCGCATCAAGTATTCCAAAAAAAAAATTGTATTTAAGTATTCCAAAAATGGAGCACAACTCATCCAATCTTCTCAATCTTTATTATTAACGTTTCTTTTGAACTGTTCCTGAACTGTTTGAACATCCTTTCTGTACATGATTGGTTCTTCATGAGCTGTCCTTCTGACAGTTGAAGTTCATTTTACAAACTTTCTGTCTTTTTCTTATACACAACACCTTCGTGATGATAGTCAAATTTGCTTTTTATTTTCTTTATACAACACTTATTATATAGAATTTTTTTTTTTTCCGAAAGGCACATTTCCTTTTATTATACTTAGAAAAACAATTACTGCTTTTGAAATACAAATAATTATTTCTACACATGTATAGTGTCTCTTTTTTACTAAAATTACTGACTTTGCACATATCAAAGCAAACCTTCTTATCAACCTGTTGGACCAAGTTCATTACATGAACTAGTTCAAAGTTCAGTTCACAAATTTTAAAATGAACTAGTTAGTTCTTTTTTTCCATATGTTGCTGCGAGCTTCTTTTTTATTATTATGGTATTGCCACAGCCCATATACAACCACAGATAACAATCATTTTGTCGACGGGCAAAGTTTGCACAGACATGTAAGATTTTCCCATCCTCACCGACCTCATAAAAGCCTTTTAAATGATCTTACGACGCCTCCTTGCTCCTCGGTTCACAGACACTACTAGAATGAACGAGTTCACTGTAACGTTCATCAGGCAGTAATACAGTAGGCTACGTTCAGTTCACGTTCGCCCAAAATATGAACGAGATCATGAACAATATCTTTCATTGAACGCGTTCAGACACAACACATATTACAAGCTCAAAATGATTATTCTCACATTGTTTTAGAGCAGGGGTATCCAACACGTCGCTCGCGAGCTATCATTAGCTGTGGCCTGATTTGGTGGTGGTAGCTCGCCTTGTTCACATATCGCGCTCACATATTTTGCACGCTCAAGTACGTTTCAGATGTAGGCGCGCATCAAGCGCCCAGCGCGCTCATAATTGAAGCGACGCGCTCATTTTTTCCAGGCGCAGTATATTTGTACTTCGTGGTTGTCTATGACAACTGACAACAAACCCACCGTAAGCTGTCACGAGACTATATATGGTAGCCCATAAGGGATAAAAATATTAATAATAAAAAAACGCGGCAAACGCAACGGCGGGCCGCACTAACATTAAACTTTAATATCAAGTAGGGGGCCGCGAGTTTGAGACCTCTGGTCTAGAGCCTCCATATTTGCACTCAGGTTTAAGTCTCATGGCCCTCTATCAGAATCCAGAGTTTTGAGAAGATTAGGGAAACTTCATTTTTCGCCCAAAAAAAAAAAAACGTAAGGGGTACCACTGTCGTTTTTTTTTCGGGCCGAATTTTTGAGTTTCGATATCTCAGCTCTGGAAGGGTCTAGAGCCTCCATTTTTGCACTCAGGTCTAAGTCTCATGGCCCTCTATCAGAATCCAGAGTTTTGAGAAGATTGGAGAAACTTAATTTTTCGCCCCAAAAAAAAAAACGTAAGGGGTACCACTGTCGTTTTTTTTTCGGGCCGAATTTTTGAGTTTCGATATCTCAGCTCTGGAAGGGTCTAGAGCCTCCATTTTTGCACTCAGGTCTAAGTCTCATGGCCCTCTATCAGAATCCAGAGTTTTGGGAAGATTGGAGAAACTTAATTTTTCGCCCAAAAAAAAAAACGTAAGGGGTACCACTGTCGTTTTTTTTTCGGGCCGAATTTTTGAGTTTCGATATCTCAGCTCTGGAAGGGGCTAGAGCCTCCATTT